ACTACACACAAAGAAATATTTCGTGGAAGGAAGCATATGTTTAGTGTCAACATGAGACGGCTGCAGTAACAACCAACATATTTTCTTTCAGCATTTATACTATCATCTCACAATGAAATAAAAGAGAATTAAACTCATCACAGCAATGATGAGAAAGCAGTTGCCACATAGTAAAGAATTAAGCCTGATAATTAGTCAGCTAAGTAGTTCCTGAGTAATGTAACTGACATATATACATGGATACAATAGAGGAGGACAACTTTCAAGAAGTTTTTTCTTTTAACAAAGAATGGTTAGCACAGATTCATTGACACATACATTAGAAAACTATTTTTAAAAATAAGCATTTTTAAAAGAAGAAAAACATCTGTAGGTGAGCTTTCTAGGCAAAAAAAAAAACCTATCAATACTCCTAACTTTTAGAATAAGCTGAATAACATAAAATATCGAGTATCTTAAATAACACATAGGTATATTATGAGACATTCTATATTTTTTCTTATTCTTCTGGTTGTTTTTAATACCAAAGAAAAGAGATTAGACAGCATATGCTACTAGAAAAATTTAAGAAAATTGTCTCTCACACTTGCAATCAGTTTTTGAGGTTTTTAATGGCTTAGTTACAGCAAATAAACCATGCACTTCATCATATTGCTGACAAACTCTCACTTAATACACGATGTCTCTAATTTAGCTAAGTAATCTGGTGCAGTAATTTGGATATACATGTCTATTAATATTATCTTGGATATAGAATAACTTTGCATTTAAACCAATGCTACTTGACATGCTAGATTAAATTTTAACATTCCACATCTAGTACAGTGAAGTCTTTGTAGTATTGTATTTGAAAAGGTGCTTACTTACCCATATGGCCATAGGCTTATTCATCACTATGAACAGAGTTTCAAGAACAAAATAGCAACTGCTCAAATTAACCACTGAGCACTATGTGCAGTTAAGCAGCACACCTACCTCAGAATCATAGAATCATGGAAGGGTTTGGGTTGGAAGGGACCTTAAAGATCATCCAGTCCAACCCCTGTGCCATGGGGCAGGGACACTTCCCACCAGCCCAGGCTGCCCGAAGCCTGGACCAACCTGGCCTTGAACACTTCCAGGGAGGAGGCATCCACAGCTTCCCTGGGCAACCTGTGCCAGTGTCTCACCACCCTCACAGTAAAAGAATGTCTTCCTAATATCTAGTCTAAATCTCCCCTCTTCCAGTTTAAAGCCATTACCCCTCATTCTATTGCTACCTGCCATGGTAAAAAGTCCCTCCCCAGCTTTCCTGTAGGACCCCTTCAGGTACTGGAAGGCCTCAATAAGGTGTCCTCGCAGCCTTCTCTTCTCCAGGCTGAACAGCCCCAACTCTCTCAGCCTATTACCTCTTCCAAGGCAGTAAGCAGTCACATGCCTGCTGTGTATGCAAGGCTTACATTCACATCAGCGAGAGAAGAGGTACACCAAAAGAGAACTCTGCCATTTGTGATGTGATGGCTCCTGTTAAAATAACATCCCTTGGTCTCTGCCTGCTAGCTTTACAAAAAGCTCTCAAATTCATCAGATTTACGAGTCCAACCAAAGTTTCAGCTTCAAGAGCTTGACTGCAATGCTAACTGCTGCCCCAGCGTCCTATTTCATTTTATTGTCATCTAGAAAATCCAGTGCTGCCAAATAACCAACAATTTTGAAGATTGTACACAATAAACTCTTCTTTTTTTTCCCTAAAAAAAAAAAAGAGGGATGGGGGGGAAGGAGAGGTGATGACTGAGCCTCAACTGTGGAGATTACTGTAAATAAGTCAATAGCATCAAAATCAGTGCAACTCTGCCACAGTATCATTGCTGCTGAGGATGTAGTGTATGAACAGGCTTCATCAATAACCCTCAGGAAATTCTTAGGAAAAAAAAACCGGAGGTGTTTTGGTACAATATATTTTCTGAATAAAGCAGCAGTCTCAGGAAAAGAGCAAACACATACTGAAGCAACAGAAATGACATAAGAAAAACAATTTACTGCGTTTCTTATGACAGTAACCCATTGTTCCCAACAACAAAAGAGCTCACCATATAGCAAAGTAACAGAGATGGCCAAGAGGTAGAATATTTTCATAGGTTTCAAACTAGTTTTCTAACAGAAACTTACTAGTCTGAAAAGTAACACTCTGGAAGTTGCACTGGGATGTCACCCTTTGTTCCCTCACAGATTTTCCATATCAAGTGTGCCTAATGTACTCCTGCCCTCCAAACCTAAACCAAGTCCAGCCAACAAAGCAGTGTTCTCCTTTATTTCATACTTCATCAATAAGATAAGCTTCCCATTCCAGAGACAAATTGTCATCTCAATAACACCAGCACCTTAACAGCGGGTGTCATTTTCAGCAATTGAACTATAATCACTGTTGTTCATACAGAGGACTAAACATCTAAGCTCCCAAAAAAAAGAAAAATAAAAAATTACAGCCTAGCTAACAGAGTTATGCCAGTAAAATTGTTCTAGTGGCAACAAGGTTAATTCTTAATTTAAAAATAATACAAGAGATCCTAATTTGTTCTCTTGTTATGTTCTTAGATTAACACTTCTACTGACCTGACTATGCCCCATAAACACTGACCCCCCCATATGACTTCAATACAGAATGCTATCCCAAAGGCCAAACAACTGCACTGAAATTTCTGCCTGGAACTCAGTAAACAACATCATTTCTGGTAATGAAAAAAGAATGTAATTCACCCCTTCAACTGTGATGTTTTTGTAGACTCAGTAAAATTTCTAAGTAATGAGAAGTATTTTACCCATAGAAGCAGCAATTATAATTGAGTATGATGAATAACAGCATAATTTCAATCATAGCCACTTTTCCGAGTAGAATCACATTAGAATGGATAGCCCACACCGTAGGCAACAAGACCCCTGAAAATAACAAATCAAACCAATCAACTGTTCAAAACACTTGGCATAGTTTGCTCCCAAATACAAACTCTTGTGCCTCAGCATACATTAGAATATAATTATCACTACATCCACCAAGGTATGTTTTGGAAGAGCTGGTGAGACAAATACACTATGAAGTCAAACCCATGTTGGGAAAAAGGTATAAAAACTTCAGAAAGCATAAAAGCTCCCCATTGTTTTCAATCCTAGTGGTTATAAATATAAGGAGGCAAAAGCACTGTCTGATGCAAATAATGCCACTATACCATGTTGGCACCTCAGCCCTGACCTGCAGCAACCCTGCTGCTCCAGTTCCTGTGCCTCTGTATTACAGCTTTTAATCACATGTGAAGAGGTTAAACTAGAGGTATGTGTTTATGAGAAGGACAAACATCCATGCAAGACAAGGCTGACACCAACACTCTCATTTTCAACGACAAACTCCGTCTGCCCAAGAAGAAAAAGAGTGGCACATTTAACTTGCCAACCCTTCAGGTCCCATTTCTTCTGCTCGCTTAGGGCCAGCATCCACAGTAAACCACTGTTTGCAAAGGCACACTCACAAACAGCTCATGAGAACTGGCTGGTGTCTAATACTGTGTAAGGATATGCAGCTGCACTCACTCACCACAAACATGGCAGTGGGGGGTGGTCCTGCACAGAACCATAAAAATGTTTGGGAAGAACCAAGAATATGCCCCTCAGAAAAAGCATAGCTCTCTTACTGCTCTCCTTAGCTCCTTGGCGGACTTTTGGGTTGTTTGGCTGGTTTTTCGTGAACTGGGCCAGCATGCCTGAAGAGTGATCAATGGTTGCAATGCTAAAGCTGATAAATCCAAGTTCCTCATGCTTCTCATACACGTTTTATCTATGTTTAAGTAAATATCAATAATGACATCACAGGAAATGCAGCAGGGAAAGAAAGAGCCAAAGTACTCAGCTTTCTGCACAAATACAAATAAATACCTCTTCCCATCCTCACTATGCTACCTGGAAACTTTTGCCAAAACACATGCCATTTCTGTCTTCAATAAAAATCAGCAAGATGGGAACCCTAGCAAGCAGGCCTTATAATATCTCTCCAGACCAGGCTCTCTTCCCTCATATTTTAATTTAAATCATCAGCACTCATAGTAATAAGATTTAAAAAAAAAAATCTAGTTTATTAGCAAGTTTCACCCATATAAACTCTTAATAGCCTTTTTTTACAAATCCATATAACTTTACAATCACATCCAAAACAATCTTTATAAATGCTGTCTCTTTCTTTTCACTGGGAGTATCACAATCCCTCTCACATGTTTTTGGTTGGTTGGGTTGGTTTTTTTTACCATAAAGCAAGCATCACTCTGTCATCCAATTTCCTTGTTCACATGTTTTAAATTTAATCAGAATACCCGAGGTGTCAATAATCATGTTTTTCTTTCTGACAAGAATCAGAAATGGAAATAAAGCTCATACTGCATCACAATAACATAATCTGCACTGCTGCATCTGAGTAACTTACTTTTCAAGAAGTCTAAAGCAACCTCCTCTTTTATTGAAAACATGTAAAGGAAGTCAGTCTTTCGAAACTAACTTTAGTAAGCCAAGCAACTTGATCCAAATACTAAACAATAAATTAATTAAAAGCCACTAGGAAAGATGCTAGAATCCCCTCTCAGATCATCAGCAATTAATCAAAATAAAAATAGGAGGGGGAAAATGTCACTATTGTTAGATATTTATTGCTAAAATTATTAGTATTTCCCCCAGTTGCTTAAGACAGCACTAGACTGCACTAAAACAGTCTTAGCAGCAAAGTTGCAGATACATAGCCTAGAGTGCCCTCTTTCTTTCCAAAGAGGAGTTTCAAGGAAATATTCTGTTAAGTCAGTTGTTTCTCAGAAAGTCAAATACAAGAGATACCTCGGCTGAATTTAAAAAAAAAACAAAAACAAAAACAAAAACAAACCACAACCAAAACCAAGCAGCCCCTAAACATTAAAGCAGTTCAGTGTACTTTAAATTATATCCTTACATTGGTGATGAATGGGATTCTACCGTAATAAAAATATACTTACAGAGCCATCTGAAACTGTTCAAGCCACTTTTTCTTCAAGTCTTTAGTTTTGCAATAAACTTCTAAACCGTTTTGACCTTGGATATGAATGAGGTAGAAGCCATAAGACCACTGCATAAAAAGATTGGCAATACAAAGTTCATCAGTTATGAAGAAAAGAAAATAAAAGAAAAAATAAAGAAGCGTTTGTATGTTCTTTAATTCCCTGATTTTTGGAACAGCAAGACCACATTCTTGTTTTCACTTAGGAATTACTTACTCAAACATTTTAATTGCATCAAAATAAACAAAGTTAAAATCCTAGGTATTCAATTCAGCTTATATTTAAAACATAAAACCTTGTAAATAAATGGTATATACATTCTGAACTCTTGCAAAAGGTTTCACATCTCTGCTAAAAATACGTAGTTTATATGAATTAGCAACTAATATTTACCTTCTTATTTTCTTTATCAGTAGTGGGGTTATTTGTAATTTTGTATTTCTGAAGATCTATTATTTCCTTCATTTCATAATTATCACCTCTCCGTTTGCAAACAATTACAGCTAGATCAAACAAGAAGATATGCCTATGAAAATACAATACAAAGAAGGTTAAAAAAAAAACTCCAGAAAGCCAACACCCAAATTCTTATCTTACACACCTTTGCTTGTAGCACTTCTATTTTTGAAGGTGAAAAACTAAACTACAGAATAACGAAACAAAAAAACACTGGAAGTACTTTTGTATAGAGTTACTACTTGCAAGGGACTGAGGTGATCTTAGATGATAACATAGTAAGCTAACTTCCCATGAATCACTTTGCAAAATCACTTGGTAAACAGTGGATAGGCTCTGCGAAAGCAGAGTGAAATGCAAAGTACTCTCAAGAATCATTGATCTGCCCTCAAATCTATACAGAGTTACTATACAGGCATTTTAATAGCAAACATCAGAAGTCATGCCATCACCTGTCTTGCCTCGCACGTTTGTCTAACGTAGTTATCCTTATTTCCCCATCACCTTGAGGTCTTCCATACTGTAAGAGGGAATGATTCTGAAACAGAAGTAATATATATCATTCAATACAGCAAAAGTGTCAAGATGATAATGCATTCAAATGTTACACCACTCATAGCACAAAAAAAGGACTTTTCAGGCCTGAAAACGACATCTTTTCCTCACTATCATCTAAACTAAGTACTATAAAGAATCAGCCCATTCATCAATTTTTGTCTTCAAATGGGAAATTTTCCCCATTAGAAAAATACCCGAGTCACCATACAAATACAAACCTTTAACTATGCAAATATATTTAACTACAGACAGAGGTGTACTTAAGTATTTATTAAGTATATATTATTCTGTACTTAAGTATTTATGTCACTCTAAACCAAGCAAAGCATACTTATACTTAAATACCACAGAATAGTATCATCTCATATGAAGTGGGGAAAAAATACATTTATCAATATGTTTGATCAAAAGTGATTTAAAAACACATAAATGAGAAATATCACATACCAGATTCTCTATTGATAGTTGAAACTGTCTGATCTCACGAAGTGTTTCATTATCTCTCTTCACTTCATTTACGTATTGAGCCAAGTCCTAGAGTATCAACAGAAAAGGGAGGGACAAAAAGCATTTCCATAACACATCACTTTAATACATTATTTTGCCAAAATTATTTCCAATTTTGTCTTTGACTTATCTGCATATTTAGTCTTTTTTTTAAAATCATCTTTAATGTTCAAAAATGACCAATACATATGACTAAATAAAGAAGGAAAAAAGCCTCTGCGTATCTTCATATTTACAACTTTCTTCATCATACCTATTGAAACACAAACTTAGTTGCAAGAAAGAGGGAAACGTAAGAAATTGTGAAAAGGGCTGATTTTTTTCTGAATTTCATTAATGTCTTATTTTCAAGATTAAAGACGGAAAAGTAATTTATACAGCACATTTATGGTCCAAAAAAAGCAGTCAACAACATTCAGTATCTGAGAACAAGGCAGAAGGTAAATAAAGTATATAGCAGAAAACATATGTAAGACAGCTCAAAAGCAGCATGTAAGGTGTAAAGGTGCCATAAGCCTGGGTGCTTATTAGGAGAGAAGATGCTACTCCCCCAGTAGTAGGATCTTACTCTTACTGTTGCACAGCAGCGAGAAGCCACTATAGAGAAAATTTTAAAAGGGACTATATAGAAGTATACTACCTGAAGTTGCAGTTTGAGATCATTATTGTCCCCTTTACCAGAACATATACTGGATGCATTTCACGAAAGCTTTAAAATGCTCTGAGAACATGCTTGAGTAATAGTGACAATTTTCTGGCGCATCTCTGCTTATGGCTAGAGATGAGGAGTGAGCAGGAGTGGTGATTTGTAAGGTCAGAGATGCTGCGAGCAGCAGTTGGAAAAGGCATTTTGATCTTCGCAACTTGCTTCTACAGTATCCCTTCAATATGGTCACAGATTTGGAGGGTGGGAGAAAGATACATCTTCTTCCTAAGACATTTTTAATCAGAATCTAAGAATAGCTGCAATCATTATGCTAGCTTCCCAAATGAATCTGTGCAGGATACATTCACATTAGTCTTAGAAGAGTTACTGTAGAAATTAAATAACTTCTTTTCTTGCTGCTAAAAGAAATCTGACAGCATATTCCTTCCTAGAATTTTCTTTCTTGGGGAGCAGTACCACTTTGCTGGCAGTTTTTCCCAAGACATTTTATTTTTATTTTTAACCAGATACACAGGGGTTTTAGAAGCAACATACTGATACTGCACCATTACTTGTACTGCTTTTTTAAGAGGATACAGTAAATCTGGAGGGAAACAATGCTGCAACCTTAAGGAGAGAGAGAATCATAGAATCGTTTAGGTTGGAAAAGACCTTTAAGATCAAGTCCCACCATTAACCTAGTCCACCACTAAACCACATCTACACATTCTTTAGATACCTCCAGGGATGGTGACTCAACCACTTACCTGGGCAGCCTCTTTCAATGCTTGGTGCTCATACCTGGTGTTTTTTTGTGGGCTGAGTGTCAAGGGGAAAGCAGTGGTGGTTTGGGTTGTTGTTTTTTTTAAGTTGGCTGGTTATGTCTGCCAGCCAGCACATAACTACCATAATCACTCTGGTAAGAGATTTCTTAACTGGTGTTTTATTTTCAGTCCAACAGCCACCAAAAACCACAAAGCACACCAGCAAATGGGAAAGAAAAAGGAGGATGAGGAATAAAAGCCAGGGATATTTTCCTAGCCTATTAGCAGCAGCCAGAATGCATGGCTTGCCCACTAGATGGAAGCAACACTGTGTCATCCAATTTCAGGCATCTCTCTGTGGGAGATTATCATGGTGGCGCTCTCTGCATTCACTGCACAAAACCAGATGACAAAAACAGGGAGCCAAAAATCTCATTTGTGAGCTGGTCTGTATCCCAGACATTCAAGGCAGACAGTCACATAACATGAGGCAGCTGTGTGACCCAAAACTAACTTAGTCTGACTTCAGCATATTCTGTGGACCATACAGATTACAACAGGAGATATGGCCTGTACAGTGTTAGATTCTTTCCCCCTTTCCCCACAAAGGACAGAAAAAAATGTCACAGTTATAGCACATGAACATTACATTTCATGCCGTGAAGCCAACTGAAGCAGAACTGTGCTTCATTTCTGAAGCTGTGCAAAAGAACACATAACACATTAGCTGATACATAAGGCAGTACAGCTACTCTGTAAAGCTTTTGTTTGTACCACTTGCAGGTGAATGTACAGTGACAGATACTCTACCTCCAGAAAGACACAGAAATCACGATATTAAGATGACAGAAAAATGTCTTGTAAAGAAAGATAACAGTCTTCATCTCACTGGGAAACTACTGACCTTGGTAAGAATTGACTTACAGTGGTAGAAAATTCCTAAATTTTGAAGAAGATACCAACATTCTTGAAACATCCATTTTTAATCTCATTAAATGACAGCAAAATTGTGTAGAAGTAAACTGAAATAAGGAAGTTCCATTTCATAAACCCTTCGCTTCACAAAACTACTGTTTCTCAGACTTGAACAAAACCTTCAGCTATATATTTGCCCTGACATACTCACAGAGCTCACAGTGACCTGTGAAAACATGTTTGACCCACTGTGAAGAACACTGTCTCCTCCAGGAAATACAGTTGCTACCATTAACTGCCAAATACATAAATACTTCATTACCAGAAATACTTACCTTCATTGCATCAAGTGCCAGCTTTAGATTTGCCTTCTCCATGGGATCAGTAGTGTGCTTTACCAGCTCCTGTGGACAGAATAGTTAAAAACTTTTCACCCATCGTCTATCAGTTTATAAATTGAAGTTGTCATTGCTCATCTCCATCCCACCACCCCACTTCACCCTCCCCAAAAAGAAGAAAAAAGCCAAGGCCAAAATCAGAAAACACAACCCAAGAATTCACATTCTCATCCCCATAGTGAGCAGCCTATAACTGAGTGGGGACTACTGCAAACAGGTAATTAGAAGTGTTTAAGAGTGATTGCTGTATAGCCTAAACACTGACTTAGCTGAAAAGGAACCATCATTAGAAGCTAATTCAGTCTGACTGGCACTTAAAACTTGCCAATCAGATCATTACTGTATCTGCATGCTGTAAGCACAGGTAAATACTTGAGTTCATATGCACATTACTATTCCTATCATCCCATTCCAAAGCATGCACTTGTCTGCAGAGAGGGATGTATGCTGGCAATAAAATCTCAGCTAAACTGTGCAACTGCTTAAAAGAAGTCACTGTCTCATTACATCTAAGATAAAGCTGACTCAGAAGACATATTTAAATCAAGCGTAAATGTTTAAAGATTTTTTTTAGCCACTTTCTACATGGAAAATAAAGGAGTTTTTTTGGTTTTTATGAAATGAAAGAGTAACCTCTTGAGGAAACAAGTTATTTCTTCTTTATAATTTGAGAAAAGAATTACACATTTCAGCTAACATAACTTGCTAAAATCCTAGGAAATGAAAGAATAAGTGTTTATACTTCATATTACAATTTTAACAATTTACTGGATTTTTTCTTTCAAAGCCTATATTTCTTTTTTGTACAATGCATACTCCAGTGTCACACATTAGAGCACAGTGACATATCGCATATCATCTTCTCATAATATAGGGGTTGATTATAAAATCATGACTTAGATCTCATTTTTTTAAAAGCAGCTGTACCATTCATTGTTGTTTTTTCCAGTTTTCCATTGATCACAATACTGATGACCCATAGAAATATTTCAAAAATTTAATATTACCAAATGTATGTTGCTCTGCAGAGTCAAAATTATGCTTCACATACAAGTAGTAGATCTTTTAAAACGACATTTTACAAGCATCAGCAGGGTTGACAGTCTAATATAGTAATATATTTCTTTGCAGCTGAACTAATGAGTCTCCTGGCACAGCTATCAAATCAAATTTATAAGACTCTTCACTCTTATTACAGGACTAACTGCAAAAGCTACTGCTTTGTGGGTTATAACAAGAAGCATTTCCAAATAAATATAGCTTTATTGTAATTTATGATAGCAAAGAAGCACCTTAAAAGCGTGTTGTAAGTACAGTCCAGCTTCTCCTTTTGGGATGTAATGGTTCACATTGTGAAGTACCATGATTATAATTTGGTAGTAACCATTTTAAACATACCAAGAATGAAAGGTTCAGATACTGAGGAAACAATTGTGGTTTATTCTTCTTTCCCCAGATGTGCTTCAACTCTGAGGAATTATCTCTGTAATAAAACCCACACTTGACTGGATCTTTTTTCATACAAATCAGTGTCAAATCTAGGAAATGTCAATCAACTACCTTTGATAAAGACCTTTATCTCTCATTCCTAAAACTCACTGACGATAAACAATCACAGTTTTGCTCTCAGCCCCCTTAAATTTCAAAAATAAAATACCTGGAGCAGTAGGTGATATTTTAGCACTCTCTGCATTGGAACCACTAGAAGATCCCGCAATGTGAATTTCCCATTATTGGCCCTCTTGGAACATTCCTAGTTCAAATCAAAAGAAAGAATAAGACGGAAGAGTTAGAAAATAAAAATATTCATGTGATATTTATGAAAATTCAGTGATATATGGGCCAAGCAACTATATTAACCTTGAGATAAAGAATATCTACAATATGAAGGAAAATAGTTCATGTGGAAATAATAGCTAACCAGAAAAAGACTGAGTCCAGACACTTGTTCTTAGATATTTCAACAGCACAAGAAAGAGTAAACAGCACAAAGACAATGGCAATTAGGTGTTCCATTGAACTAAAAAGAAAAAAAAAGAACACTGCATATAAGCACAGCAAATGCAGCAAATATTACACCTCTCTTCAAACAAAAAACAGAAGAGAATCTTTGAAACTACAGGCCAGTCAGTCTCATTTGCCCTTGCAAAAATAATGGAGCAAGTCTCTGGGCATATGAAGAAGGTGACTGGGAAGGTGAAGGTAAATCAATGTTTGACCTACTTGACTGCCTTCTGTGATGAAATGGCTAGATCTGTGAATGGGTGGGAAGAGTCTACCTTGACCTGTCCAAGGCTTTCAACATCATCTCCCACAGTATCCTGATATCCAGGTTGGGATGTTACGCTACAGATGAATGAACTACTCAGTGTATGAAAAACTGGCTAGATTATGAGGCTCAAAAAGAGCAGTGACTAATCTTGCCTACACTATGTGAGAGACAGTTGCAAGTAGAGCTCCAAGGATCCCTTCTATTTTATGTCTTTAGCAATGATCTGCAGGAAAAGACAGACACACCCACAGCAAGTTTGCAGGCACCACCAGATGGGAGATGCAGGTGACACTCTTCAGGGCACTCTTCAGGAACCTCACATGAAGGCAACAAAGACCAAGGTGAAGTCCTTCACCTGGTGTGCACTAACCAGGGAGACACTAACCCTGAGAGCTGACCAGCTAGGAAACAGTTCTGCTGGAAAGGACCTAGGGGTCCTGACAGACAGCAAGCCCTGTGAGGCTGTAGGACCAGGGCTTGTTCATCCTAGAGGTCCCGCCCAATTCTGCAATTCTGTGTTCTCAGCTGAGATGTCACAATAAGCAGAAGGGTATTGCTGATGACCAATTCAAAGAAAAAAAAAAATATCCCTACTGACGTCAGTGGCAAAACTCCATTCACTGCAGTGCCAGGATGCGTACTGCAAGAGTTCACAGATACATTTGGTCAGGTGCTCAAAAAAAAAAGGAAGAGAAAAATATTCACGTATCAGTCCAGGCAGTTTTTCCATCAAACTTTTTGACTTGGATGAAAGCAAGGCATATTCATAGAAACACATGTTTTTTAATATATGTATACATACATATACTTGTTAAAAAAATACCGATACCTCTAACTTCAATTTAACATCTTCTTTTGTCTTAGAGATGTTGTCTAAGCATGATATTGCTATCTCCACTTGACTGCAGTACTGTCCATAAATAACCAATCTAAATCAAAGCAAGAGATAAAGAATAAAAGGAACATTTGCTTATTTAAGAACAATCCTTGATCATTTTTCATAGGTTAATTGTTCACAATCCTCCTTTCAAAAAGAACAGTGCCTAAATAAGCAAGGATAGGATTTAGCCACAGACTTCAATGGGCAGCATGAATACAAGGAAGAACATTCAGGAGAATACAACTCTGAGCCACCTTCAAAATGCTGTAAAATCATTGCCATTTCCTTTAATATTTACATACTCTGATAATACAGGGCTCATTAAAAGCAGCATAACTGCTGTTTAACAGAACAGTCTGTAATATTTACAACACTGCAAATTTCCAAGGTTGTAATTAATAAATTCTGTAACACAGGCTTAACAGGATAAATTACAGCTATCCTTTAAAGAACTTGTATGTTACCCAAACTGATCCATCTCCAACAGTTTCTACCAGCATATATCCTGTGAGCTCTCAGATCAAAACAGTGTAGGAAAACTCAAGAAATTTTCAATAGTTGTCATGGGCAGCAATGCTTCTTGAAGGAGACTGATTTTATGACAGGAGTTTCTTATCCCTCTTTGGAGTGCTTCTTTCTCCTAGTCCCATTCCAAAGAGTGCTGTCACTTTTTCATATATTTCTTGAGGTGATTCCTTCTATATGCCTCAAGTCACTTTTTTGAACATTCCCAGGAGCTTTCCACTGGGGTCTTATATTTCTTTTTCTCTTGCTTAATCTTTACCATTTTTTTAATTCTTTTTTTGCACAATTAAAGTGATGATACTGATTTAAAACTTATAATTTCTGATTACTTTAATCACTGCATGGTCAAGACACTAAGTCTATCCTCATCTGCTTCCTTTTTCTATAATATAAACCTGAGGTTTCTTCTCGGTGTCCTTTGTTTCCCGTTAGCACGCATCTCAGAACTACACTTGAAAGAAAAGAATTTTCCAGAAAGACTTCTTGTCCCCTAATTCCCTCCTACAGCAGCAAAAAGTCTAACAGCCTGGGAAATAACTATGTCCTGCTCCAATGTAAAAGCTGAGACAGAGGTCTCTGAAGGCAAGACTGTTTATGGGCAGACTGGGACACCCTTCTCTCTCAGAATACAATTTTGCTGTCTAATGTTTTCCAGATGCTGCTGCCCAATTTCTCACAAGCCTGTTATTACTGCAACAACGCTCCTTCCCCATCACCCTCAAGCAAATCCAATTAGCTCCCAGAGCTTTCCCACTCAGGTCCCAGAAGGAACTCGTTTTTAACCACAACTCAAGGGTTACTTCAAGGTAGGTCAGCACTGTAAGCCACAGTACAAGTGTTTTTCAGCTAAGTACCACGAACATCTATACGGTCCAACAGCTGTTCAGTGCTGGCAGAAAAAACAATCTGAAAAGGTGGGTAAAAATTTGGCAATTAGCCTACAGGGCACAGCAAGCTGCCACAGCTATCCTGTTTGTTATCAGCTGGGCTGTTTTTCACAGTTTGAAGGTACAGGGTGTTTGCTTTACTGTCACACCTTTGACTGCACGGTAGGGTAAGACCCTAGGCTCTTCTCTCTTCTCTTTCGCACCTGCTTGCACTTCTTTCAGATTATGACCTCTTCAGTTTTCTTTAACCTGGAATAGCCCTAATACAATATCCTTGCCTTATTTTGTCCTTTCTTCCCCTTTTATAGCATTTTATCTGATAAACAATATAGCCACATGCTACAAAATTCCTGGGATTATTTGCATGAAAACAAATGCTGTGCAAAATAAGCTACTTAAGTTTTGTTCAAAATATATATGTTACCTGTCTTTGTAACAATATTGCCAAAACTGGGGGTAAGAAGAGGGAGGAATCGTACAGCAGTAGGTTACATTTTGATTTCCAGGCTCAAAATACCAAATACTAACTTAATAAGTATACTGATATCAAATTCAATCCTGTTTCAGAAATACTCATCAAACAAAAATATGGTAAAATACTTCACCGAATTGAGCACAGATTATCACAATTAGTAGGAGTGCATAAATCTTACCTTTCCTTGTAGTTAATAAAAATCTGGTATAGATTCTGATCATTTTTGTTAACAATAGAATCATTGATGTCCTGTGTTAGATTCTTGTGAATTTTCACCAAATCCTTAAAAACAGTAATGAGGAGGGAGAAAGGTTTTTAAAATCAGAATTAATTAAAGCTTTGAATATAAAAATAAACTAATTCATGTTATATCCATTAATTTCAATAAATTGGAAAACAGATCATTTGAGAGTAGAATCTAATTTCAAAGTTTGCCACATCTTCCACATGGAGTATAGTTTTTCTTGTTGCACTAAGAACTACCTAATAGAGACTAATTTATTCTAGCTTGGAACATGTGCTGTTAATTCATCTTCATTTTATAATGATAATTTTAAAATTAAGCAAGTCAAGTAAATGCTTTAGTGACAAGATAAAGTAATGATTCATGTCCCTGAGCTGTGAAAAATTAGTTTTGTACATTACATCGGTCAATTAGTGATGTTCCAGTGCTAAGTTAACTGCAATCATAATGAGTTTCCCAATACAGCAGGCAACTAATGGCTGAAAGGAAAGAATACTGCAGAAAGGTTTGCTCCCTGAGAGTATAGTAGCAACTCACCTTACTTGTTCACTATTACACAAAAATCTGTAAGCAACTATAGCAGATTACATCAGCCTTAATACTGTATGGATACTGACGGAGAGTTCACAAAAATTAAGTCAAAACAGGTTAAAAGGTTTTGAAACCAGGATAACTGACAATGAAAAATAAAGGACTGTTTAAAGAAAAAGCCACTGAAGACTGTTTAATGCAGTAAGTTATATACTACAAAAATAATACGTAATACTGAGCTGTGAATAAAGTTAAAACATTTCACTTCACGCTGATGAAAACTAAGAGTACACAATAAGTCAATCATCACATCACAAGTGAGGGAGCACAAACTTTAAACAGATCAAATTCAGCTGCTAGCAGTTGTATGCCATATCCTCAGAATCTTAAGTTGCAGCAGACAAAAACATTATTATAGAAATGCTTCCTGATTAACATCCTACAGGAGCACATTCTCTCAGGAGCGCACAGGGACTCAACCAAGCAACACCCCTGAAAAACAGGGGGGACAAAATGTCTTTTTGAGTTTCTATCTCCAGTTGAAAAACAAGTTTTAAATTAAATTGCTGTTAACATCATTAGAAGAAAATGAAAATCTCAACAATTTGGTATCTGTTGTGTATAATTCCATCTCTCTTTACCTCTGTATGTCTATGGATACGTTGCAATTCAAATATATGCACAGTTTTACATACTAGTGTATCTATATGCGTGCATGTGTATATACACACAGGTGTACATACAAATGCATAAATATGTAAAAATATATACACATACATACATGGACATACTTGTACACAGATACACACAAATATAAAGCCATATATACATTTTGAAATCTGAGCCCTAATGAAAGGCATTCTTTTTAGACTGGTGTTTAAACC